TCAGAGGACGGCGGAAGACAGGAAGGCCCGGCGGGATCTGGTCCATGGGGCCGCGAAGAGTCGGACTCGACTGCGACTGAACAACGAAAAAAAAACATTAATTTTTAAAAAAGGAAACCTGGCCTCCAAAGAACACGGTGGCTAGACATCATAAAAGTCGACATCAGCCTGAGCATGGAATGACTCAAAGAAACAGCACAAGACCGGAAAAGGTGGAGAGAGCTGGCCCATAGATTCGCCAAGAGTCGAACACGACTGAATGGCTGACAGCAACTTGACCAGCTGACTTTAAATTTCTGCATTTGGGTATTTGAATTCCTGCAAAAGTGCAAAAAGAATTAGTATATTGGTAAATTTGTGCTGCAAACTGTATAAAGTCGGGGAGTTGTTTCACCTTGGGTTGCCAACCTCCAGGTGGTAGCTGGAGATCTGCTATTACAACTGATCTCCAAGCGACAGAGATCAGTTCACCTGGAGAAAATGGCCATTTTGGAAGGTGGACTTTATGGCATTAAGCCCGACTGAACTCCCTCCCATCCTCAAACCACACCCTCTTCAGGCTCCACCCCCAAAATATCCATGCATTCCCACAATTCCTCTGTCAAAATTGATCCCTACTCTCCTATGTATTGGCATGTTTGGTTAGTATAGCAGAGTTTGCCGAGTCACAGAAGTGTGATACTGAGTGCAGTAAACCAATCTCCCAAGAAGTATGTTGCAAGAAAGGAAACCATACTTTTATTCAAGGAGATCCGGTTCATATTCAGGTTGTGGTCAATAGGAGAGAAAGAAGCCTACTCTAAAGAGTGCTTCCCCCGTCACGAATGGCCAGCTTATCCAGCATCACAAGCATGTGAGTACGAGAACATTATTTCTACAGGAGAGACGACCTGTAGAGACATGTGTCCCCATGGAAGGCCATGTTCAATGAGTAAGAGGACAAAGGGAGAGAGGGGGAAGGGTCCAAGGTCAGCTCCCTGGTTAAGGCAAAGAGAGGTATCCCCATTCAAGGAGATGACACCGATACACACTTAGGGTGATGTAGCACCCCATGAGGTCCAGGCAGGGTGAGTCACTCACTCCAGCACTATGAACATAATTACATAAGAACATAATCCCATGAGGTCCAGGCATGCTGAGTCACTCACTCCAACACTATGAACATAATTACATAAGAACATAAGAGATGCCAATGTTGGATCAGGCCAAAGGCCCATCCAGTCCAACACTCTGTGTCACACAGTGGCCAAAAATACCAGGTGCCATCAGGAGGTCCACCAGTGGGGCCAGGACACTAGGAGCCCTCCCACTGTTGACCTCTGTTCTGTTGGTGGTTCCAGATGCAATGCCCCCTGACTCAGACCTCCAGACTGAGTGGCAAGAGGGGCTAGATAGCTAGATAGGCACACCGACCTTTCTTCCTGTATCTACTCTTCTGCCACTGTCCTCTTTTGAAATGCAGATTGTGTTCTCAGGGAGCAACTTCCCTTTTCTTGCTTCCCTCTCACTCCGAATGAAGACTTCCTCTCTACCTGCAGTCCTCTCTTGGCACAATGAGGCACATGGGCCTCCCACCATCTGCCTCCATCCTTTAGCTAGTAAGTTAGTAATCTAGCAATCTCTGCTCTTTCCTATCCAAAGTGTACCTCTCAAATAAAGAGAGAAGTATTTCTCTTCTAAACTTGCAATGTGGCTCTGCGTAGCTTTGTAAACTGAGAGACCTGGTAAAGTGATGCTCCTGCATTTGTAGCTTTATTTACGCACTCTGCTAACCAATGGTGATTGGACAAACCACACCGGTTCACCTAAATATGCTGATCTCTTGCCTGGAACATCCCCCTGGATGGAGTCACCAAGGATCAGTTGCAACTCAACAACACATTCTTGTTCTCCTTCCAAAAGCTAATTGTGATGTGCAGGGGTCATTTCCTGCTGGAGCACCCCAGAGTGGCGCTCTGGCAGTAAGGAGCACAGGCCCCACCCCCTGCCTTTCCTAGCCGCTGGTGGAGAGACTTGGGGGGATTTAAATCCCTGAGTTCCCTGCCCAATCTTCTCCAGGTGTCCCACGGCTGCAGGACACCTGGGGAAGATTGGGCAGGGGAGCCAGGCATGCCTGCCTCCCTGACCTCCCCCTCTCCAGCCAGCCCGCCGCAGCGGGTTGGCTGGAGAGGGGAAGGGGAGGCGGGCAGACATGGCCCCTTTCCCCCTGAGCCTCTCCGCTTTTGCGGAAAGACTCAGGGGGGGGGGTTAAACTCATTTGCATATGCCTTAACTCATTTTAAACATGCCTGCTCTTTGTCAGGGGTGTGTGGCATATGCAAATGAGTTATGCAAATGAGATCCTGCACTTCTTTTTCTAGAAAATGACCCCTGGGATGTGTATATGTGAAAAAACTTCAACGGGAAACACCACGCTAGACTAGGAATATTAACTCCCCTGTCCTCTCCCCACATTTATTTATTGATATCTAAGGTCACAAGGAATGCTTTGGGATTTACTAGGATGCGAGGAGGGAGGGAAGCAAGCGAGCCCCCAGCTGGCTGGCTAATGATGTTCTTGGCCCTTTTCCATTGGCTTTGGTGTTGACAGCAGCCCGCGTGGTGAGCAGGCAGGGAGGACGGGCTAGTGACAGAGTTGGGAGGAGGGCCAGAACCTGCTGGAGTT